GGGTGGGGAGGGAAAAATGGGAAATTTGGAAGGGGGTAAAGGTAATATATAATCAATAATTTTACAAGCAAGTAAGTATCCGGCATATCATTAATATATAAATAGCTTATCATAGTATTTAAATAACATATAACATATTCAAATATTTTTCACTTAAACTTAGCTTTAACCTTAAAGGCATAACCATAAATTAATAAAAAAAACAAGTATTTCCACCTAATAGCTAAACAAACATATTAATAATATTGAAATCTCAAAGAAGAAGAATAGAAAAAAAGAACAAGAAATTTCTAACAATCAAAAATAATAACTCAAACTTCAATAAATCCTTTCACTTAACTATCTATTAATTAATACTCCATCATTAAACTTCTAACGTATCTCTAACCAATGATAAAATTTTTCCCAGGTTGTAAAGTAAATTGAATCATCTTTTTCTTTCATTTGTAATGTTAGTCTATCCATTTCCGCACAGTCTAAGATTTTTGTAATTATAATCTGGTCCGATGGTAAATTCTCATTCTTCCAAAATTGGGCAAATGCTATCCTTGCTGCAGTTAAAATATGCAATATCACCAAGTCGTTTGATTTTGATAATGCTCTCCATTATTGTTGATGGTCCCAACTAGATGGCCAAGTCGTTTGATTTTGCAGGTAACCCTCAAGCCAGGGAGTTGTTACAAGCCCTTGACACCCCCGCTAACTTTGGCCAAAGTGAGTGTATTGGGGGGTCAGGAAAGAAATAATCTCATTCTTACCGTTTGGCATGAGAGACACAACCAGTTTTGGATAGGCAATGTTAGAACACCCAACTTCTGTACCACATATTTGCTTGCATTCATCTGGAACAACGCAGGCAACTTCATCTGTAAAGGGAAGAAGAAGGGGATGAGTGATTCTCCCGTGACGCAAGTAACAACACTGCATTAACATATACATATGCACACAGATGTATATGACAAAAGATGTGTACACCATATACTATTTCTGCTGGGTGCCAACAAGTGTTTGTTTTCACCATCTAAATCAGGGCTTTTCAACCAGTGGTACGGGTACCACCTGTGGTACATTGGCAATTGGCAGGTGGTACGCGACCATCCTAGAAAAGTGGTAGCGGGGGAGGGGAATGAGCTGAACCAGTGGCAGCACCGCACAAGCCTGAGCAAGAGATGGCTGGAGCTGCAGGGCTGTCAGGGCTCAGTGGAAGTGCCAGGATCAGCGCTTCTTCAGGACTGTCAGGGCTCAGTGGAAGTGCCAGGATCAGCGCCAGGCTCCAGCTGGAGCTCAGTGCTGATCCTGGCGCTTCCGCTGAGCCCTGAAGAAGCACTGATCAGCTGGAAAGCAGCACTGATCCTGATGCTTCTGCTGAGCCCTGAAGAAGCGCCGATCAGCTGGAATGTTGCAGCATCTCCAGGGTCTTGTGATTTACATTCAGATGCTTGGCAACTGATTCATATTTATGATGGTCACAGTGTCCCAGGGTCATGTGAAGTGACCAAAACCTGCTGCAACCACCCAGCAGACGGGGGGAATAAAAACCAAACATCCTCCCACCGCTGCCAATCCTCAACAGAAATGCTCACAACAATGAAAACTTCGGACAGGAGGAAGAGCGCCGCCGGGTGGGCAGGCAGGTGTCTTGCTCGGCTGTGCCTTGGGGGGCACTTTTTTTCAGTGCCATTGTAACTTCGAACAGTCACTAAGTGAACTGTTGTAAGTCGAGGACTACCTGAACTTCATCACTTTTTTCCTTTTTTTTTTTTTTTTGGTCATCAAGTTTTTGACACCTTGCTAGGCGACTGGTGGTACTCGGATATTGCCATATCCTAAAAGTGGTACAATGGGTGAAAAGGTTGAAAAGCCCTGACTTAAATGAAGAGAGAGTGTCTCTTTAGATGAGATTTTTTTCTCTTTTTTTCTTTGCAAGTCTCTTCTACAGGCAGGTTGGGAGAGAAAAACAAGTGTTTGTAAGCAATAAGCAAACGGAGACTGAGAACATCACAAAAATCCGTACTGCCTCTAATGTAACTAGATAAGTAATTAGGTAAGTTTCCTTACTTGAAATAAAATTAATACATGTTACAGTTGATTTTGTTTTGCAGCATCTAGACCAGGGGTAGGCAACCTTGGCTCTTTTATGCCCCGTGGACTTCAACTCCCAGAATTCCTGAGCCAGCATGGCTCAGCATGGAAACCTCTCCCTTTGCCCTCAGCATGGCTGGCTCAGGAATTCTGGGAGTTGAAGTCCACGAGTCATAAAAGAGCCAAGGTTGCCTACCCCTGGTCTAGATCAATTTGGAACAAGAGGTTGTATTCACAGCTACCTGGACTCTGCCAAAGTTGGAGAAGGATTCTCCTGGTTGAGTTGGGGGCCAAAGATCTTTAAATCCACCCATTTAATTTAGCTCCCTCCAATAACATCTGAGATTGTTCTTTGGTTCACTTAGATCAGCCATTTCACATTTTCCTTCTGATATCTGCATTCCAGCCACCATCTCAGAGGTTTACCTGGATACAGGATCCGGCTAATCATGCCAGGCATAACCATGAGGAACATGGGTAGTAGTTTGAGATACCCACAAAGGATGCAGCCAGCTTTGACATGGGTCAAGTTCTTCCCAGCCAGGCACCTCTGTACTATGACCTACATGGGATGCAAATGGGAAGATTTGCTGTAAAACATTGATGCCATCTTCATTTCTGCTCTAGAGCAGGGCTTTTCAACCAGTGGTACGGACACCACCTGTGGTACATTGGCACCTGGCAGGTGGTACGCGACCATCCTAGAAAAGTGGTAGTGGGGGAGAGAAATGAGCTGAACCGGTGGCAGCACCGCACAAGCCTGAGCAAGAGATGGCTGGAGCTGCAGGGCTGTCAGGGCTCAGCGGAAGCGCCAGAATCAGCGCTTCTTCGGGACTGTCAGGGCTCAGCGGAAGTGCCAGGATGAGCGCCAGGCTCCAGCTGGAGCTCAGCGCTGATCCTGGCGCTTCTGCTGAGCCCTGAAGAAGCACCAATCAGCTGGAATGTTGCAGCATCTCCAGGGTCTTGTGATTTACATTCAGATGCTTGGCAACTGATTCATATTTATGACGGTCACAGTGTCCCAGGGTCATGTGAAGTGACCAAAACCTGCTGCAACCACCCAGCAGACTGGGGGAATAAAAACCAAACACCCCCCCACCGCTGCCAATCCTCAACAGAAATGCTCACAACAATGAAAACCTCGGACAGGAGGAAGAGCGCCGCTGGGTGGGCAGGCAGGTGTCTTGCTCGGCTGTGGCTTGGGGGGCACTTTTTTCAGTGCCATTGTAACTTCAAATAAGCGGACTGTTGTAAGTCGAGGACTATCTGTACTTTATCACTTTTTTCCTTTTTTGGGGGGGTCATCAAGTTTTTGACACCTTGCTAGGCGACTGGTGGTACTCAGATGTTGCCATATCCTAAAAGTGGTACAATGGGTGAAAAGGTTGAAAAGCCCTGGTTTAGGGAGTGTATCCTCATACTCTTCAGGTACGATTTATGGGGTTGAACAACTAGATGGTCACAAAGTACGTTCTTCAATGGGATATTTTGATTACAAAGTTGGCCTTAGCATGGGATTGCACTAGAGCAGGGCTTTTCAATCTTTTCACCCATTGTACCACTTTTAGGATATGGCAATATCCGAGTACCACCAGTTGCCTAGCAAGGTGTCAAAAAGTTGATGACTAAAAAAAAAAGGAAAAAAGTGATAAAGTACAGGTAGTCCTCGACTTACAACAGTTCACTTAGTGACTGTTCGAAGTTACAATGGCACTGAAAAAAAGTGCCCCCCAAGGCACAGCCGAGCAAGATGCCTGCCTGCCCGCCCGGCGGTGCTCTTCCTCCTGTCCGAAGTTTTCATTGTTATGAGCATTTCTGTTGAGGATTGGCAGTGGGGGTGGGGTGGGGGGTGCTTGGTTTTTATTTCCCCTGTCTGCTGGGTGGTTGCAGCAGGTTTTGGTCACTTCACTTGATCCTGGGACACTGTGACTGTCATAAATATGAATCAGTTGCCAAGCATCTGAATGTAAATCCCAAGACCCTGGAGATGCTGCAACATTCCAGCTGATCGGCACTTCTTCTGGGCTCAGCAGAAGCGCCAGGATCAACGCCAAGCTCCAGCTGGATCCTGGGGCTGATCCTGGCACTTCAACTGAGCTCATTCCCCTCCCCCGCTACCACTTTTCTAGGATGGTCGCGTACCACCTGCCAGGTGCCAATGTACCACAGGTGGTACCCGTACCACTGGTTGAAAAGCCCTGCACTAGAGGGCATATGGACAATTCTTTAAGAACGGTTGAGACGGAGATGGACACCCATGGATGCCACTACAGAGAATTCTGAATCTCACTACATTAAATAGGAACTTTCCTTTTCCACAAGGCATCTGCGGAAGAATTTTTCCATGGGTAGGATTCAATTCTGACAAATGGTATGGAAGGAAATATTTTTATTTTCCATCAGCTCTTCTGAACTGAAAACATATGGGCTATGTTTGTCTAACTTCTGGATGGAACTTGGAAGAAAAAGAAGTAAATTGGTAGTTCTTTATACTAGTTTAAAGCCCTAATTTGAGGGTATGTAGCCTCAGAATCGATAGAAAGTTGCTAAATTACAATTCCCAACATTCTTTTCCCTCAGACATGCTGGAAGTTGTAGTTTAGGTACATAGGGAGGCTCCCTTTATTTGGTACCTTCATTCTCTGATCTGATCATCCTCTTAAATGTTAACACCTATCACTTAGGTCACGAAGATTCTCAGTCATCCAGGTAAAGTTGCCTGAAAGTTGAGTCTTGGCAACTGGACTTATTGTCTTGTTGTTTTGAGATGTTTCATCAACATATTGCCACACACTTTGGGGAAAAAAACCTGAGGTTGGTGCAGGTGGAGTTGGTACATTCCAACGACTCTCTGCCAGAGGTGGGATTCAAATATGTGAACAACTGGTTCTCTGTGTGGATGCTGCTTCCGGAAGTCCATTCTGGGCCTGGGCAACAAAAAATTAGCTACCGGTTCTGCCAAAATGGTGCGAACTGGCTGAATCCCACCACCGCTCTCTGCCTAACTAACTTGCTCTGACTGATGAAGCTGCTTCGATGAGCAGTGAAAAGTCTCAAACCAACAAGAAAATCAGTCCAATTGCCATGACTCAACTTTCAGATACCTGTCACTTAAGTTCTCAGGATCAACCAAGAAAAGGGAAGCAAAGAAGTAAATTCCTATTATTCAATGATTTTTAAAGCAGCTGTGTTTTGCTTTATGGAAGAGCACCCTAACAAGGAAAGCTATCCCTCTCAACATGTTTGGCCTTACAAAACATAGGTTGAGTATATAAGTAGTCCTCAACTTATGCCTGGTCACTTAGTGACTATTCGAAGCTATGACAAACCTTCCCAGGACTACTTACAATCTGAATTTGTAGTTCTGACAGCTGCTCCCCACTCCAACCCTTATGAACATGGGATGGCTTTTTAGGTGCTTGTCTGTGTGTAGTGTCCCACAGTCACATGACTGTAATTTGCAACATGTTCTTTGTAGGAAACAGGCATTTATTTCTGGTTTCTGGCGAAAAACGCCCATTGCAGATGATAGATTCACTTAATGCCCACATTGTTTTCTTAATGCCCACAGTGATACCCTGAATAGGGACGTAAAAAAAGGGAGTGATTCACTTAATGACTGCTACAATAAAGGTTGAAAAGTCAGGAACATTCTTGTGGTGACCCATTTAATGACCAGCACGACTTATGATGATGCAGGCCACATTTCAGTTGTAAGTTGAGGACTATCTATATATAAAGTTGGAGGCTATATAGAATTCAAGGTATGAATATTTCTAAGTGTGTGTGTCTCACTATAAGTGAGAATACCTAGCTCAGGAGTCTTCAAACTTGGCCCTTTTATGACTTGTGGACTTCAACTCCCAGAATTCCTCAGCCAGCATGCCTGGCTGAGGAATTCTGGGAGTTGAAGTCCACAAATCATAAAAGGGCCAAGTTTGAAGACCCCTGACCTAGCTAAATGTATCTGAGCTTGAAAAAGCTACACAGGGTTGAATTTGGGTAGTGCTTCGATGAGGGTCCACCATGAAATTTTGTACATTAGACCAGAAAAGCAAAAATAAGTAAATCTGAAAGAAGCAAAGGCTCTGTAGTGTTGGCAAGATGGAAATAAAGCAGGGGTAGTTAACCTTGGCTCTTTTATGACTCGTGGACTTCAACTCCCAGAATTCCTGAGCCAGCATAGCTGGCTCAGGAATTCTGGGAGTTGAAGTCCACGAGTCATAAAAGAGCCAAGGTTGACTACCCCTGAAATAAAGTTAGAAGTTGACTTCAGCTTAACAAAGACTTGGCCTTAAATATATGTAATTTTTCTTCCACACAACAAACAATCAGCATGCACAATCAAAGGTTAGAATTAATTACTCCCAATTGAAAGTCGTAGGAAAACCTCAACCTTCTTAGGCATAACGGCAGGATTTACTATCATGGGTAGTTGGTGTGAGGCTTCTAGGCAAAACTGTTGCTTTGTAAGTAAGGAACTGTGAGTTTAATCCAGACTAAAGGGTTGTGATTCTTTCAGAAATTAACACACTATTTTTATTCCTATTATCCTTCCCTAGGAATCATTCTGTACCTGGTCACTGCACCAATACCAGATGGAGTTGATGGAAAGACCAAGGATGAGAGCTGGCCAGGGCAGATCACTCATGGTGGCATCTCTGATCATGTGGAAGGAGTCTTCACGGGGCAGGTAGCAGGAAGAGGAGATGTTGTAGAAGGCAGGGTTGGGTGAAAGTGTCCGCTTGGGAATAGCCTCCATATATTTGTCAAATAATCCTTGATAACCTCCGACTTCACTGAAGGCTGTATGGGAAGAGTCACAGTCACGCTGGAACTGAAGTTGCATTTTTATTCAGATGTTTGCATCCTACATTATACTTCCTGTTTCCCAGTTTGGAGATCTCTTCCTTCCCTCTGATTTTTCCCTGTGCAATGAAATTGCAAAGCAGGGTAGCAGGGGTTTTTTTTTGGTTACAATTTTTGGAAAGTTAACCTTTGTTTTAGATCAGGGGCGCCTGAAGGCAGGACAAGAAGCAACGGGTGGAAACTAATCAAGGAGAGAAGCAACCTAGAACTAAGGAGAAACTTCCTGACAGTTAGAACAATTAACCAGTGGAACACCCTGCCTCCAGAAGCGGTGAATGCTCCAACACTGGAAGTTTTTAAGAAGAGACTGGACAGCCATTTGTCTGAAATGGTGTAGGGTTTCCTGCCTGAGCAGGGGGTTGGACTAGAAGACCTCCAAGGTCCCTTCCAACTTTATTATTATTATTAAACCTGGCCCTTTTATGAACTTGTGGATTTCAACTTCCAGAATTCCTCAGCCAGCGTGCCTGGCTGAGGAATTCTGGGAATTGACGCCCACAAATCATAAAAGGGCCAAGTTTGAAGGCCCCTGTTTTATATTTATAGGCTCAGTTGAACCTGAATAATTTAACTAATGAATATGTAATTGCAAAAAAATGGCAGTGGCCAGAATGTCATTACAGGTGCAAAATCAAAAGGTTTATATAACTATGTTCATCACAAGGATTTTAGTAAATAAGGGCCAGCTGTGAAAAGTTTACTGATCCAATTTATCTCTGGTTCCAATCATGCCTCCTTTAAAAAAAATACACAAAAGATAGAATGTGGAAATGGCATTATTTTTTTTGTCCTTAAAAAATTGGTATTTTCTTTATGAGGATTCCCACCATCACTGCCCTGTAGTGACAAAAAATTCAGAGCGTCACATTTAATAAAAATGCCAGAGCATCACAAATGGCTGCTATCATGTAATGTGAACTCTCTCTATAGAGAATTAGTGAGCAAAATTATGTGGTTCTGGATCAAATGGCTAGTGCAAAAGGTAACTTTGGTTCCACTTTTTCCTTGAGTCTTTGGGATCCAACTATTATTTCACTATTTTTTGTTCTCTTGTGAGTTGGAATTTCTTCAGAAGACTTTAAAGATGGAGGCTCTTACTCTTCGTTTTTTCTTTCTGGGATTTCAGGCTGAGCTGCTTCCATTCTAATCTTTTGCCTAATCAGTGCAATATACTGTACCTCAAAGTGCTAATTATTCTAACATTCGCTTAAAAAGTTAGAATCGGATTTTTAGCCGAGCAATTTGCTTCTCCTATTGACTGTTGGGTTTTATATTATAGAGTTAGACCAGGGGTAGGCAACCTTGGCTCTTTTATGACTCGTGGACTTCAACTCCCAGAATTCCTGAGCCAGCATGGCTGAGCTTGGAAACCTCTCCCTTTCCCCTCAGCATGGCTGGCTCAGGAATTCTGGAAGTTGAAGTCCACGAGTCATAAAAGAGCCAAAGTTGCCTACCCCTGAGTTAAACATTATAAATTGGGATGGACCAGGACTTCAGTTTGGCCTATACAAGTAGTTCTCGAGGTATGATGATAATTGAACCTGCAATTATGTTCGCAAGTCATGGCGGTCCTAAAACAGGTGACCACGAGACTCAAATGGGTTTGAACACAGCGGTTGTAAAGTGTGACTGTTAAGTGAATGCTGCAGTCATTAAGCAAACCCATTACTTGCTATGGGATGGTTTTGCCAAGAACCAGAAGTAAATCCTGGTTCCCGGTAAAAATGTTGTAAATCGCAGTCACGTGACCATGGAGTGCTGCATACAGCCCTAAATGCAGTCATGTGATTGCAAGGGGAGGGCGCCTGGATGTTGGAACTTTGAAGCTGGGTTGGTTTTTCAGAGTCCCTTTTAACTTTGAATAATAATATAACAGAGTTGGAAGGGACATTAGAATCTTCTAGTCCAGGGCTTTTCAACCTTTTCACCCATTGTACCACTTTTAGGATATGGCAATATCCGAGCACCACCAGTCGCCTAGCAAGGAGTCAAAAACTTGATGACCAAAAAAAAAAAAGTGATAAAGTACAGATAGTCCTCGACTTACAACAGTTCGCTTAGTGACTGTTCGAAGTTACAATGGCACTGAAAAAAGTGCCCCCCAAGCCACAGCTGAGCAAGACACCTGCCTGCCCACCTGGCGACACTCTTCCTCCTGTCCGAGGTTTTCATTGTTGTGAGCATTTCTGTTGAGGATTGGCAGCGGGGGTGGGGTGGGGGGGGTGTTTGGTTTTTATTCCCCCTGTCTGCTGGGTGGTTGCAGCAGGTTTTGGTCACTTCACATGACCCTGGGACACTGACCGTCATAAATATGAATCAGTTGCCAAGCATCTGAATGTAAATCACAAGACCCTGGAGATGCTGCAACATCCCAGCTGATCGGCGCTTCTTCTGGGCTCAGCAGAAGCACCAGGATCAGTGCTGTGCTCCAGCTGGAGCCTGG